GAATCAAAGCTGATAAGCGTGTGCGGTGCCGAAATCTCGCTGGGGCAAAAAATCCGGTACCTTCGCCGGACTGAGAGTTTCGCTGCTCGCATCCAAATCCTCATACGAGTGCTTATTGGTAGGACGATTTGAGTTTTTGTAATTGCCGTTTTCGATCTGCTGAGGTAGCGATATAGCATGCTGGACTTTGGGTCCTCGATATCGAGAGCTTCTCAATTGTAAGATGGCTCGAATCAAATTGCAAACGCAGAGCAGACTGCTAGCATGACGCTGCGGCTCAGTGTTTATGTATTGTATGTTTGTAGGTGTCAGGCCGTCCACTCATGCTTGTCCTACGATGGAATTTGCAAGCGGTCACAATTTGCCAGCTACAACTGGGAGCAGCATCGCCCATACGCCAGCTACTACATCTGCTGCTGTTTCTGGGCTGGCCGTACCAACAGCAGCCTGGGGCTCGAGTTGGGATAATGGATTGAATTCAATAAGCGAATTGCTTAATTCCAGTCGTTCGTTCGGTCCCATCGGCAGTGATTATGGTACGGCTAGTGGCAGCACTTCTAACCAGGTCCGCTTTTGCCTCGTTGATTTTATTTTTTTGGGAGTGCCAAAGTTGAAGTTGACGTGGTGGTGTTCAGCATGCATTTTGTAACTTCTCGAAATATTTGGTGTCCTCCCTATGTGATATTATTAGGAGGACCGTTCGAGAAGTAGAACGAATGCCAGGATCGCCAGCAGTCTGAGCAGGCATGCAGCAGCGGCCAGAGCAGTTGGAAAGGCTGCTAGCTGCATAATCGGAAAATGAGGCTTTGAACTGTAGTTAAACAAAGTTTCAAAATAAATTATCTCGAGAAATTATACAGTTAAGAAAGGGCCAAGGGCAGGGAAGAATAAAGAAGTTGTCAAATATTTTCTCCCTTACTCCCTCTACGATGATGGGCTTTTATGGATGGGCATAGGTTGATTGGTGTAAGCCAAATGACCTTACGAATAGTGGAGAGAATGCGTTGCGTCCAGTATTTTTCTCTGAATGTCAGGCGATACAACTTTAGCTATGTTAGCATCTGAAAACTATTAGCTGCGTTGTGGATGGGGAGATTCACTGCGGTGAAACGGTAGCTGATCTTTGTGGTGGCATGTCGCTTCTCGTCGATTGCTTCGGACTAACTCTGTTGTTTGTTGCAGCTCTCTCATCCACCTCCTGCAATTCCGAACTCAAGTAATCAGTTTACGGTACAGTCGAATGGGTGGTGCAATGGAAGCGGTGGTGAATGGCTGAACACTCCCTGTAAGTTTCATTTCTGTTCATGTCATTTCCAGAATACGTCATGGGCATTTAATGGCATAAATCAGAATTTTCAGACGAAGTGGTTTCGGATAAATTTTGAGAAGTTGAAGATTTTTATTCGCTGTCGTTCAATATAAATTTTGGCAAGCACGTTAAAAAGATTTTCTGTCATCCAGTACAAATTGATGGTTTTTAAAGAAATATTGAAATCTATTCACCTGTCTCTGTGGGTCCACTGTTTTGCATGACGATTTCGTGCTAAATCCCTCTCCTTCACGTATGTATCCGTATCCCTTCGGGAATCGTCAGATTAT